TCGGCGCAGCCACTGCCAGGGCCACATGGACAAGACCACGCAGCTCTCAAACTGTGCGCTCGAGCGATTTAGCTCTCCAAAGCCTGCTGTTTGAAAAGGAGTAGAGTAATATAACACAGTATATATTGTCTTGATGAAACATGTCAAGCCTTTGCACCTCCATCGTCACCTGTATCCATTCTGTTACTAGGACAACGGACTAGGACAGTTATCAATTGATTGTGACTTTATAGCCTACATGGACAGCATCTAAAGTCTACACATGTAGCCATAGTCTAATCATTCGTGCAATATGGTATCAATCTAACCAATTACTAATTTACACCCAGGTGTGCATGGACAGTGATTTCAAAAGTTATGAACATGTGTTGTGAGGAGTGAGGTGGATATATATATATATATAGATATATATATATATATATATATATATATATAAAAAAACATTTCCTTAAAGTTTACATAATATATGTCCACAAGTACAGCACTAATGTAAAAGCGTTATGTCAGTCTTTTAGCAGCATGCGGTTTGGTTGTGTGTCTCCTGTAGTTCTGTACACCGTTTGCCAAACAGAATATTTAGGCTACTAATGAATGTCTTGGCAAAGGTCTCTTTGACCGGAACGTTACATGTTCATAAATGTTCTCACTAAACTGTGTGCTGGAGTACCCATGTACTCTTCAGGTGTGCAATATTTTTTATTTCTACTCTCTTATGTATTTATGAGTGAAAGTGTGGTGTCTGTCCAGAGCTGAAGGTTGGGAAGAAGATTAGCTTCTCCAGCAGAGAGAAAATGCCACAACACAGGATGTGGAGAAGTCAGTGCTGTCCATACTGTAAGGCTCTATCCTAAACTGTACTGCCATCTATAGGATTTTAATAGCAACAGCACGCGGAACTCAATATCATGAACTCAATATTAAAAATGTGACACATTTTCAATTTATGTTTCGTGGCAGGCTTTTGTCTGAAGAAGGACACTGCTTTGCGCGAGGACATGAGGTAGGGTAAGGGTTCAGAGTTCACACAAGTCTCTCTATATTCCACACTGTAGGTGGAAGACCTACACACGCTTTTGGATGCCATCTGACACTGGGAAAACATCCTATACCGCGAGGATGCCTTCAAGGTGTCACGATCGTCTGAAGGAGGAGACCAAAGCGCAGCGTGTTGAGTGAACATGATGACTTTATTTATCAAAGCGACCACGAAAAAACAACAAAAGACGATACGTGAAGTTCTCTATGACACCGACTGAACATAGCACAAGGAAACAAAAACCCACAAACACAAGGAGAAAACACACAGAATATATATGGCTCCCAATCAGAGATAACGAGCCGACAGCTGACACTCGTTACCTCCGATTGGGAGTCATTAACCAATCACCAAAAACACAAACAAATGAAACTCACCCAACCCAACCCCACCAAATGAAATACACCCTGGCTCTAACACACAGTCCCGGAGCCAGAGTGTGACAGTACCCCCCCCCAAAGGCGCGGACTCCGACCGCGCCTAACCCAAAAATGGGGAGGGCTGGGTGGGTGTTACTCCACGGAGGCGGCTCTGGCGCTGGTCGTGATCCCCACCCCACCATAGTCATTACCCACTTAATTAGCCTCCTACACATTACCACCCCCCAACTACACCCCACTGGGTTAAGGGGCGGCACCGGACTAAGGGGCAGCACCGGACTACGGGGCAGTACCGGACTAAGGGGCAGTACCGGACTAAGGGGCAGTACCAGGCTAAGGGACAGCACCAGGCTAAGGGACAGCACCAGGCTAAGGGACAGCACCAGGCTAAGGGACAGCACCAGGCTAAGGAGCAACACCGAGCTAAGGGGCAGCACCGGACTAAGGGGCAGCACCGGGCTAAGGGACAGTACCTGACTAGCTGGCGGATCCTGGCTGGCTGGCTCAGGCGGATCCTGGCTGGACGGCTCTGGCGGATCCTGGCTGGCGGAAGGCTCTGGCTGATCCTGTCTGGCAGAAGGCTCTGGCTGATCCTGTCTGGCAGAAGGCTCTGGCTGATCCTGTCTGGCAGAAGGCTCTGGCTGATCCTGTCTGGCAGAAGGCTCTGGCTGATCCTGTCTGGCAGAAGGCTCTGGCTGATCCTGTCTGGCGGAAGGCTCTGGCTGATCCTGTCTGGCGGAAGGCTCTGGCTGATCCTGTCTGGCGGAAGGCTCTGGCTGATCCTGTCTGGCGGAAGGCTCTGGCTGATCCTGTCTGGCGGAAGGCTCTGGCTGATCCTGTCTGGCGGAAGGCTCTGGCTGATCCTGTCTGGCGGAAGGCTCTGGCTGATCCTGTCTGGCGGAAGGCTCTGGCTGATCCTGTCTGGCGGAAGGCTCTGGCTGATCCTGTCTGGCAGAGAGCTCTAGCGGCTCCGGTCTGGCGGACGGCTCTGAAGGCTCATGGCAGACGGGCGGCTTTGCAGGCTCAGTACAGACGGGCAGTTCCTGCGGCGCTTGGCAGACGGACAGTTCAGACGGCGTTGGGCAGACGGGCAGTTCAGGCGCCGTTGGGCAGACGGGCAGTTCAGACGGCGTTGGGCAGACGGACAGTTCAGGCCCCGTTGGGCAGACGGACAGTTCAGACGGCGTTGGGCAGACGGCAGACTCTGGCCGTCTGAGGCGCATCGTAGGCCTGGTGCGTGGTGCCGGAACAGGAGGTACCGGGCTGAGGACACGCATCTCAGGGCTAGTGCGGGGAGAAGCAACAGGGCATGCTGGACCCTGGGGACGCACCGTAGGCCTGATGCGTGGTGCCGGAACTGGAGGTACCGGGCTGAGGACACGCATCTCAGGTCTAGTGCGGGGAGTCGGAACAGGGCATGCTGGACCCTGGGGACTCCCATAACGCCTAGTGCGGGGAGCCGGAACAGGGCATGCTGGACCCTGGGGACTCACCTCACGCCTAGTGCGGAGAGCAGGAACAGGCCGGGCTGGGCTGGCGACGCGCACCGTATCCCTGGTGCGAGTGGCCGGAACAGGCCGGGCCGGGCTGGCGAAGCGCACCGTATCCCTGGTGCGTGGAGTAGGAACAGGCCGGGCTGGGCTGGCGACGCGCACCGTACACTTGGTGCGGATGGCAGGAACAGGCCGAACCGGGCTGGCGACGCGCACCGTACACTTAGTGCGAGGGACCGGAACAGGCCGGGCTGGGCTGGCGACGCGCACCGTACACTTAGTGCGAGGGGCCGGAACAGGCCGTACCGTACGGGGAACACACACTACTGGCTTCAACCGAGGATCAGGAACGGGCCGGACCGGACTGGCAACACACATCAGTCCTTCACGCCGTGCCACACACACTTCCCTCCTTCTACTCGCCAATAGCCCCCTTGACCTGGTAGCCTCCTGAATCCGTCCCTTCTCTGCCTCCGTCAGCCCCCTTAACCTGGCAGCCTTCTGACTCTGCCTTGTGGCAGCCTCTTGCTGCTCAGTCGCCCAAGCCATGTGCCCCCCCCCAAAAATTTATTGGGGTTGCCTCTCGTCCTTCCGACGTTGGCCCTGCCGACGCCGTTGCTCCTCTCTCCGTCGCCTCTCCTCTGTCTCGCTCCATGGACGGCGATCCATGCCATCCAGGATTTCTTCCCACGTCCAGGACCCTTTACCGTCCAAAAGCTCTTCCCATGTCCAGACCCTCGGCTCCTGGACACGCTGCTTGGTCCTTTGATGGTGGGTTTTTCTGTCACGATCGTCTGAAGGAGGAGACCAAAGCGCAGCGTGTTGAGTGAACATGATGACTTTATTTATCAAAGCGACCACGAAAAAACAACAAAAGACGATACGTGAAGTTCTCTATGACACCGACTGAACATAGCACAAGGAAACAAAAACCCACAAACACAAGGAGAAAACACACAGAATATATATGGCTCCCAATCAGAGATAACGAGCCGACAGCTGACACTCGTTACCTCCGATTGGGAGTCATTAACCAATCACCAAAAACACAAACAAATGAAACTCACCCAACCCAACCCCACCAAATGAAATACACCCTGGCTCTAACACACAGTCCCGGAGCCAGAGTGTGACACAAGGACCATACACTTTGAAAAGATGGGCGACCACTCTGTCCTCTCTGCTCTCTCAATCTTGAAGATCATAATTAGGCAAATATAATTAAGATGCCTATTTTCTCAGTATACAGTCTTTCTTAGGGTGTCCATCATTATTCCAGGCGCATCAACAGAATGTCAAGCAGACGACAAAAAAACAGTTTTTCAGCAGACAAAACATACTTCAGGATGAAAGGACGTTGGTGGAAGAATCCAGGATCGTCGCTTTGCGTCACGCAAAGGATGACTATATGGAGATGAATGAGAGCTACTATGAACCAGCTCCCTAGGAGAAACTACAAGAAGGAACAGGATTGGTCCCATAACATGGCACTATTATGATCATTCATTGGTTCTGCATGTTTTACAAAAACACTGTTTGGAATCCTTGACACTCAAATAAAGGCCAAATAAAGACCACCTGCTTCATAGAAATTCAAACTATCTTGTGTGAGCCTTATTGACAGTAGGCCTAAAGAATACATTGTTTCTGAGGTGTGGCAAATGGGAGCGGCGAATGACATCATAAATGCACTTATTGAAAAACGACATTGTGCTGCAGTGTTTGATTCAGTTTGATTCAGTGGACCACAAACTGTTGCTAGCCAGACTCAGTAACATTGGTCTCAATGGGTCCTCCAACTTTAGTAACACTATACGTGATTTTATTTGATATAAGATATACAAATGTGCTAATTAAATGAAATAAAGTAATCAGTTGTAGTGCCTTAGAGCCTTATGTTACAACTAGTTCATCGAATGTAATAGTTTCTATCTGCCACTGAGGGGGGCATATACACTCAAACAGAAGCAGGAAGAGAGTTAAAGACAGCTATAGCTATTAGGAAGTTCAGTCTTTCTCTTTGGTGCCTTGGTCCTTGACACACACATTGTGCATTGGTACCATATAACATACGGAGACACATACCCAGAAATGGCTTCTCATCTCTCCCTCTCCATCCTCCTCCTCATCTTCTCCAGACTATCAGGTAAGGGTAACATGTTTCTATGAAGTGCTGAAGTTGAGGTCAGGGACTGGGACTGGACACATGCTGACACTCTGAAGACAGGAGCAGTAGCTTGTCTTATCAATAACACTTCCTGTATTATGTGTGTTATAGTCCAGATGGAATGTCATTTTACTGCTGTGAGAATTTTATTGAATTCCAATCTAGTGTGTTTTCTGTTGTTGTGTCTACAGGTGCTTATCGTGTGTCTGTGAAGATAGGAGGCTCCTCCACCATCCCATGTCCCTATCATCAGGAATACAAAACCCATGTGACATACTTGTGTAAAGGAGACTATTTTTATAGTTGCTCCCCTGTTGTACACACTGACCCTCCTAAAAGCACAAATAAGGTCTCAATCTCTGATGACATCAACCAGCAAACAATCAATGTTACAATGATTGATCTGGAGCCAGAGGACTCTGGACGTTACTGGTGTTATAGAGATCAGTGGTGGACCAATAGTCCAGACAGGATGGTTCGACCTATCTGTCACTCCAGGTAAGATCCCTGCAACTCTTCCATATGATTACATAACTGGTGTTCTGGTTTCATTTACTGGTCTCACTATTATTGTTCAAGTTGACATGAGGAATGTTGGTATATGTCTACTTTCTGTTCTCTATCCATCATATCATAATTATGATATTTGTGGTCAGTTGTTACAAAAAAACCACTTGATCACTCAGGACCTTCTTTGGTGTGTGTACCTCTGTGTTCAGGTACTCCAGAACTCTATGTGGACCAACAGGAGTTGACTGGAGTTGAAGGAGGGAGTGTCATTGTAAAATGTTACTATGGTGACATTGGACATATGAAGTGGTACAGGATTGGTGGCAGTGTCTCCTGTGTGTGGGGGAATTCTGGGACTCTAGATGGAACATCAGTGACCCTACAGCAGACCACAAGAAGAAACATCTTAACGGTGACTATGAGTGGTCTGAAGATGGAGAACACTGGCTGGTACAGTTGTGAAGTTGGAGACCGTATGATGCCTGTTCACATCACTGTCAGACGACAAACCACCACACAAAGTACCACCACTATGACCAGTGAGTAGAGAGCAATCAGATACTGTATTATTAAGTATTAACCTGGTTTTATCCAGTCTTGCTGGCTTATCATCAGAAACAAATTGAACTGTATCCTGATTCAAAGCTTTTGTGAATAATTAGCGGTCCTACCATTGGTTTGAACTCAACAGTGCTAATACTAAGTTAAAATCCATATGTTGGGGTAAATGAAATAAGCTGGACAAGAAGGTCATATCTTAGCCACAATGTCTTGTTACAGTTCAGTCTACCCTGTGTCTCTCTGGTACACCAGTCATAATACCATTGTTGTTTTTACCTCACAGCAACCCAAGCTCCAACCACTGAACAATCCTCTTTCTCTCCAACTGCTGAGCCTGTTCAGACTGACAACACAGTCCAAGGACCTGAGGGGGGCAAGGAGAAGGACACCATGAGGTAATGATCACTCATTCAACTGTATTTCACAATTACTCTTCCAAATGGATGGCAATAGAAATATTATGAAGAAAGGGAACATTTTCTGTTTTTCACACTAGAGCTTCAGGCACAAAAACACCCTCCTTAAAAATGTCACACCGAGTAAAGGCCAAGACACTGTTATAGAGACATTTACCATCATAGAGACATTTACCATTTCCTCATATCTCTGTGGTTGTCAAAGTAGCAGCATTCTATTCTTGGATGGTCAAGTTTCATGCATAAAAGGTGTGAAGAGCTGAACAAATGTTTCCATGTTGTCATATTAGCACAAAAAACATAAACCAAATAATAATAATCTATTTAACTGTGATATTTCATGGACTGTATTTTATAATAAACATAGTCTTTCACCATCAGTTCCATAGATCTAAAAGTCCTACTGATTCCTCTGGGCATGTTGGTGGTGGTGATAGCTGGTGTCTTAGTCACATGGAAGATGTGGAGAAATCATAGTAAGTATTCATTCTATAATGACTATATTGGAAAAGTTATAAGTTTGATTTTTGAGATATTTTCATGAGACATCAATATTTTCCTTGAAGGCAACTGTATTAGCCTGTTATAACCAATGTATCTTGACATAAGAGGAGGAGACTCAAAAGTATAACTATTCTATGATTAATGTATTCAGTATTATTCTAGTGTATCTCAGAGGTCTCTAATACTGCATCTCTCTTTCTTTATTCCAGAGGACAATAAGGCCATGGACCAGACAACAAACACCTCAGTGGTAGGCTACACTCATGTTCCTCTCATCTGACTCAAGGCCTTGTGGGTAAGACCCTGTCTGTGAAAAATGCAGGACATGGACATAAGATGCACTTAAAACAACACATTAGCCCTTCAGCTTAATGTCCATTGTATTGTAACTGTACAATGTATATATGTTAACTCTATATTCAGTGTGATTTCAGTTTCTATAAGTGTTTTGCAGTGTAGAGCTAATAATAGGATCTGTAGTGAGGTCAGTGGTTAAGGTGTTGTGATTTCCTGTTGAGCTTTGCAGACACAGTAGGCCTATGTTGCTTCTCTGTCCTGTTCCTATTTAACCTGACTGACACTGTGCTGTTTGAGAGGAAGAACGCTCATATCTTAATGTTGTTAAAACAAATACATACCTTATATTGTGGATTATGTAAATATCCAAAGGTATCTCATACATGTAGACTGATGATGAGTTTTTATCATCAACCCCCTTTGTGTGTTTCTACCAGCAGGACCCATTTCCTGCCAATGGTGATGATGTGACTTACAGCACTGTTGTCCCCAAGAGGAGGAACCAGCTAAATGTACAGACCAAGGTAAGGCTGCTATTCTGATCACTATGATGTTAATATACTGAACAAGAATATAAATGCAACATGCAACAATTTCAAAGATTCTATTGATTTACAGTTCTTTATAAGGAAATCAGTCAATTGAAATAAATGATTAGCCCTAATCTATGGATTTCACATGACTGGGAATACAGATATGCATCTGTTGGTCACAGATACCTTTAACAAAAAGGTAGGGGCGTGGATCAGAAAACCAGTCAGTATCTGGTGTGACAGCCATTTTCCTCATGCAGCATGACACATCTCCTTCGCATAGAGTTGATCCGACTGTTGATTGTGGCCAGTGGAATGTTGTCCCACTCCTCTTCAATGTCTGTGCAAAGTTAATGGATATTGGCGGGAACTGGAACATACTGTCATACACGTCAATCCAAAGCATCCCAAACATGCTCAATGGGTGACATGTCTGGTGATTATACAGGCTATGGAAAAACTGGGACATTTTCAGATTCCAGGAATTGTGTACCGATCCTTGCTTCTTGGGGCCGTGCATTATCATTCTGAAACATGAGGTGATGGCGGCGGATGAATGGCACGGTAATGGGCCTCAGGATCTCACCATTGTATCTCAGTGCATTCAAATTGCCATCGAAAAAATGCAGTTGTGTTCCTTGTCCATAGCTTATGCCTGCCCGTACCATAACCCCACTGCCATCATGGGGCACTCTGTTCACAATGTTTACATCAGCAAACTGCTCGCCAACACGACGGCAAACACGTGGTCTGCGGTTGTGAGGCCGGTTGGACGTACTGCTTAATTATCTAAAACGACGTTGGAGGCGGCTTACGGTAGAGAAATTAACATTCAATTCTCTGGCAACAGCTGTGGTGGACATTCCTACAGTCAGCATGCCAATTGCACGCTCCCTCAGAACTTGAGACATCTGTGGCATTGTGTTGTGTGACAAAACTGCACCTTTTAGAGTGGCATTTTATTGTCCCCAGCACAAGTTACACCTGTGTAATGATAATGCTGTTTAATCAGGTACTTGATATACCACACCTGTAAGGTGGATGGATTATATTGGCAAGGGAGAAATGCTCAATAACAGGGATGTAAACAAATTAATTAAATTAATTAAAATTAAAAGCTTTTCTTGACTTTGTTGATAAAAAGCTTTTGGGAAATCTTAGTGGTCCTACCATGGGTTTGAACTCAACAAAATCCACATGTTGGGGCAAATGAAATAAGCTGGACAAGAAGGTCAAATCTTAGCTACAATGTCTTGTTACAGTTCAGTCTACCCTGTGTCTCTCTGGTACACCAGTCATAATACCATTGTTGTTTTTACCTCACAGCAACCCAAGCTCCAACCACTGAACAATCCTCTTTCTCTCCAACTGCTGAGCCTGTTCAGACTGACAACACAGTCCAAGGACCTGAGGGGAGCAAGGAGAAGGACACCATGAGGTAATTATCACTCATTCAGCTGTATTTCACACTTACTCTTCCAAATGGATAACAATAGAAATATGAAGAAAGGTAACATTTTCTGTTTTTCACACTAGAGTGTATGGTACAAAACCACCTTCCTTAAACATCTTCACACCGAGTATAGGCCAAGACACTGTTATAGTGACATTTACCATCATAGAGACAGAGACATTTACCACTTCCTCGTATCTCTGTAGTTGGAAATGCAGTGCTCTTCCTCCTGTGCACCATCATTGCTGTGGTGAAGTTCAGGGCACACTGACTCTGTGGTGAAGTTCAGGGCAAACTGACTCTGAGGTGAAGTTCAGGGCAAACTGACTCTGAGGTGAAGTTCAGGGCAAACTGACTCCAAGGTAAAACTGAGGATGAGTAGAAACCAGACAGGTCTCTCTGGTGAGACCAAGGGACAGATTTACTTCTTGCACCTGCTTTTTCAGGGATAAAACACACAAAATAAGAAACTTTGACCAAATTTGACTTTTTTAGTCCGTATGTTGTTGCCCACATATGATTTGTTTCATAGTTGATATTTATTTCTGAATCATAGTCTTACATACTGTTCTGTCTGCTTTATATGTTAAAATAAATGCATGCTTTGTTATTAAACTTTAAAATGTATTAAGATATTCCAAGTTGTGTCTCTGCCCAAATACAGTGGGGAAAAAAAGTATTTAGTCAGCCACCAATTGTGCAAGTTCTCCCACTTAAAAAGATGAGAGAGGCCTGTAATTTTCATCATAGGTACACGTCAACCATGACAGACAAAATGAGAAAAAAAATCCAGAAAATCACATTGTAGGATTTGTAATGAATTTATTTGCAGATTATGGTGGAAAATAAGTATTTGGTCAATAACAAAAGTTTCTCAATACTTTGTTATATACCCTTTGTTGGCAATGACACAGGTCAAACGTTTTCTGTAAGTCTTCACAAGGTTTTCACACACTGTTGCTGGTATTTTGGCCCATTCCTCCATGCAGATCTCCTCTAGAGCAGTGATGTTTTGGGGCTGTCGCTGGGCAACACAGACTTTCAACTCCCTCCAAAGATTTTCTATGGGGTTGAGATCTGGAGACTGGCTAGGCCACTCCAGGACCTTGAAATGCTTTTTACGAAGCCACTCCTTCGTTGCCCGGGCGGTGTGTTTGGGATCATTGTCATGCTGAAAGACCCAGCTACGTTTTAACTTCAATGCCCTTGCTGATGGAAGGAGGTTTTCACTCAAAATCTCACGATACATGGCCCCATTCATTCTTTCCTTTACACTGATCAGTCGTCCTGGTCCCTTTGCAGAAAAACAGTCCCAAAGCATGATGTTTCCACCCCCATGCTTCACAGTAGGTATGGTGTTCTTTGGATGTAACTCAGCATTCTTTGTCCTCCAAACACGACGAGTAGATTTTTTACCAAAAAGTTATATTTTGGTTTCATCTGACCATATGACATTCTCCCAATCCTCTTCTGGATCATCCAAATGCACTCTAGCAAACTTCAGACGGGCCTGGACATGTACTGGCTTAAGCAGGGGGACACGTCTGGCACTGCCAGATTTGAGTCCCTGGCGGCGTAGTGTGTTACTGATGGTAGGCTTTGTTACTTTGGTCCCAGCTCTCTGCAGGTCATTCACTAGGTCCCCCCGTGTGGTTCTGGGATTTTTGCTCACCGTTCTTGTGATCATTTTGACCCCACGGGGTGAGATCTTGTGTGGAGCCCCAGATCGAGGGAGATTATCAGTGGTCTTGTATGTCTTCCATTTCCTAATAATTGCTCCCACAGTTGATTTCTTCAAACCAAGCTGCTTACCTATTGCAGATTCAGTCTTCCCAGCCTGGTGCAGGTCTACAATTTTGTTTCTGGTGTCCTTTGACAGCTCTTTGGTCTTGGCCATAGTGGAGTTTGGAGTGTGACTGTTTGAGGTTGTGGACAGGTGTCTTTTATACTGATAACAAGTTCAAACAGGTGCCATTAATACAGGTAACGAGTGGAGGACAGAGGAGCCTCTTAAAGAAGAAGTTACAGGTCTGTGAGAGCCAGAAATCTTGCTTGTTTGTAGGTGACCAAATACTTATTTTCCACCATAATTTGCTAATACATTCATTAAAAATCCTACAATGTGATTTTCAGGATTTTTTTTCCTCAATTTGTCTGTCATAGTTGACGTGTACCTATGATGAAAATTACAGGCCTCTCTCATCTTTTTAAGTGGGAGAACTTGCACAATTGGTGGCTGACTAAATACTTTTTTTCCCCACTGTACATTGTTTCTGAGTTCTGTGTGCTGACAAGTACCATATATGCATGAACTGTTAATGAACATGAACTGTTTTTTTCTTACTATTCAATACCCAAAATGTGGAAATCAGCATATGTTCACCCCCTACTAAAGGGTGGAGACCTTTCATTTTTAAATAACTATTGACCTATTTCCAAGCTCCATATCCTGGTCAAAGTCTTTGAATCTCTACAGAACGCTCAGCTAAATAAATTCCTACTTGAAACAACATCCTGTGTGGGGTTAAGTCTGGCTTTTGTTGACCACAAACTGTTGCAAGACAGACTCAATAACGTTGGTCTCATTGAAGGGGCTGTCATCTGGTTAAGAATCTATCTTGCAGACAGAACACAATGCGTCTATGCTGAGAATCCAAGTCTAGCTTCCTTTTAGATTACTAGAGGTGTACACCAGGGCTCCATTTTAGCTCCATTAAAAAGGCGTCATCCTACAGATAACTAGGTATATGGTTGGACAGTAAACTGTACTACAAAGTTCATATGGATAATCTTGTGAGGAAACTTAATCTGAAATTGGGTTTTTTATTTTATCGCAACAAGGCTTGTTCAACCTACTTTTCTTTCAGTAATTGATTATAGTGACTTAATGTACATGCATTAAGCCTCCTCTGTGACTCAGTCTAACACGCATCCTTGTGTTTTGTTACAAATGCCAAGTCGCTCATCCACCATTGCACCTTGTATCAAATGGTGGGCTAGACCTCATTTTACATGGGCAGACAGCTACATTGGTATGTGTTCATATATAAAGCCCTTCTGAGTAAACTCCTCCACTACCTCTGTAGCCTGTTCTCCTTCACCACTAGCAGTTACCAGACACGGTCTACTAGGTGGTTGCTTCTTACAGTCCCCAGGGCCGTTACCCAGTTAGACAAGACTACCTTTTTCTATTGTGCACCAGAGGCATGGAATAGTCTGCAAAGTATGCGTCACCTTGAGGTTCTAGTGCCCCTCAGAGAGTTTACAACTCCGGTGCAAAACTCTATTCAGGAGGAGTATAAATGTTTCCTTCAGGCCGCTTTTCCTTAGTCCTCGATTTGAGGTTATATATTGCTATTGGCCAGGTAAGTGTAGTTTTGCCAGTTAATAATTCATCAATCAGTTGTAGTGCCTTAGAGCCTTATGTTACAACTAGTTCATAGAATGTAATAGTTTCTATCTGCCACGGAGGGGGGCATATACACTCAAACAGAAGCAGGAAGAGAGCTAAAGACAGCTATAGCTATTAGGAAGTTCAGTCATTCTCTTTGGTGCCTTGGTCCTTGACACACACATTGTGCATTGGTACCATATAACATACGGAGACACATACCCAGAAATGGCTTCTCATCTTTCCCTCTCCATCCTCCTCCTCATCTTCTCCAGACTCTCAGGTAAGGGTAACAAGTTATTTAGGGGGGAAATGATGTGGCAAGAGGCAGCATGGTAGGCGCAGCTTGACCCATGAATTAATTGTAAAATTGAGAATTATCTGATAACTGTAAAACAAACATTCTGGATAATATAGAGAACCTTCAACTATTTATTGATCAACACTTTGAAATGCTCGAACCTGAATCGTACACCTCAATGCGAACAAGAGCACTACAATTGATTATTTTATTTAATTAGCACATTTGTGTATATTATATCAAATAAAATCACCTAAAGTGTTAATAAAGATTAGTTGGTGTTGAGCAGCAACAGTCGAGATGGAGTAAGAGGTTCAAGTGCACATTATTAAAAAAATATTTTACAGTTTGTATATCTCTGGTGCTTGAAATGTAAAATGTTCCTGTCCTGCTAAGCATTCAAAATGTAAGAAGTACTTTTGGGTGTCAGGGAAAGTGGATGGCAATGCAAATATCACGGTACAGCTGTATGGACACTCAATCATTACGCTATTTTTTATTGGTAAATTTACAATCATATATAATGATAAATAGACTTGAAACTTGTCTCTCATTATGGTGTATGGTGAAATAAGTATAGCCAGTTATAATTGTAATGGCTTAGCTGATAATAACAAAAGAAGAACAATATTTACATGGCTCAAAGAGAAGGAATATAATATCTATTGTATACAGGAAACTCATTCAACAATTCGAGATGAAGTAGCGTGGAAAAAAGAATTGGGGGGGGGGGGGGGAATATACTTCTCCCATGGGCAAAGAAATTCAAAAGGGGTGATGATATTAATTAATAGTAATTTCGATCCGAATGTGCAAATTGTCCAAATAGATACGCAAGGTAGATGGATTATTTTAAATATGTTATTGGACCATAAACAGATATGGCTCATTAACCTTTACGGACCAAATAATGATGATCCACAATTCTTTGACAATATATAATAAATTATCAAGCCTGCAAGCAACTCAAGACAATATTATTATGGTGGGGGATTATAATACTGTTTTAAATAGCTCAATGGACCGTAAAGGAAATCACACCACAAACAATCACCCACATGCTCTTAAGGAAATTGTGAATGTCATGGATACATTAGAACTAGTAGATATATGGAGGCTTAAATATACTGATCTAGTGAGATATACATGGCGGAGACTGAATCAAGATACATTTTCTAACCTCTCTGGATTACAACCAAATTATGACAAATGTACTATATTACGTATTGGATCACTAAAAAATACAATTTTGACATTACCATGTAGTTTACCAATAAAATGGTCTGATGGTGATGTGGATATACTCGGAATACATATCCCAAAGGAAATAAATGATCTCACTTCAATAAATTTTAATAGAAAGTTAGCAAAAAGAGATAAGATCTTACTACCATGGAAAGGAAAATACCTGTCAATTTGTGGAAAAATCACCCTGATTAACTCTTTAGTATTATCCCAGTTGACCTATTTGCTTATGGTCTTGCCTACGCCTAGCGAACAGTTTTTTAAATTATATGAGAAAAAAATATTCAATTTTATTTGGAACGGCAAGCCAGACAAAATTAAAAGAGCATATTTATATAA